CCCCGGCCGCTGTGCCTGCAGGTCGAGGGTTTCCGCCGCGCCGTGGCCCCCATCATGGCCAACGCGGCCGCCGGCGTCCACCTGCTCTGCTACAGCCAGGGTATGCGGGGGGTACCGGGGACCTTCCGGGGACCTTCCCGGGTACCGGGGACCTTCCGGGGACCTTCCGGGGACCTTCCCAGATACCGGGGACCTTCCGGGGACCTTCCTGGGTATCAGGGACCTTCTGGGGACCTTCCGGGGTACCGGGGGGCTTCCGGGGACCTTCTGGGGTGCCAGGGGCTTCCAGGGACCTTCCCGGGTACCGGGGACCTTCCTGGGGACCTTCCGGGGTATTGGGGCCTTTGGGGGTATTGGGGACCTTCCCGGGTACTGGGGACTTCTGGGGACCTTCCCGGGTACCGGGGACCTTATGGGGTGCGCGGGGCCTCTGGGGCCTTCCGGGGACCTTCCCAGGGTACCAGGGACCTTCCTGGGGTCCTTCCGGGGTACCAGGGCCTTCCAGGGACCTTCCCGGGTACTGGGGACCTTCCTGGGGTACCAAGGACCTTCCTAGGGACCTTCCGGGGACCTTCCCGGGTATTGGGGACCTTCCGGGGCCCTCTGGGGCCTTTTGGGGTGCGCGGGACCTTCCAGGGTCCTCCAGGGACCTTCCCGGGTACCAGGGCCCTCCGGGACCTTCTGGGGACCTTCCTGGGGCCTTTGGGGACACCAGGGACCTCCTGGGGTACTGGGCCCTTCCCGGACGCTGGGCCCTTCCCCGGACGCCCGGGCCCTTCCCGGACCCTGGGGCCCTTCCCGGACGCCTGGGCCCTTCCCGGACGCCCGGGCCCTTCCCGGACCCTGGGGCCCTTCCCGGACGCCTGGGCCCCCTTTGTGGGGAGAGGGGAGGGTGCCCGGACGCCTGGGCCCTTCCTGGGCTCCTGGGAATGGGGGAGCATCTTGGGGAGCCCCCGGACGCCTGGGCCCCTCCTGGGGGCAGGGGGAGGTTTGGGGGGGGTTCCCGGACGCCTGGGCCCCTCCTGGGG